TTTGAGTGGCAACACACAAATCAGGTGGAGGAGACTAAGTGCGGAGAACATCGCTGAGTTGACCAGGCGAGTGCAGGAGAAAGGTGCGTGGGAATCGACCGGAGAGGCTACAGATATGTGGGTGCGGACTGCTAACTGCATCAGGGAATCAGCCAGGGAAGTGTTAGGTGTGAGCTCTGGCTCTGGGAGTAGGCGTCGGGGTGATTGGTGGTGGAGCGATTCAGTCCGAAGTAAGGTGGAAGCTAAGAAGGTGGCGTATTTGAGGTACATGGGCTGCAATGTTGAGGAGGAAAGAGCGGCGTTGCGAGTGGAGTACAAGAAAGCGCGTAAAGAAGCTAAGTTAGAGGTAACGAGGGCAAAGAATGCCGCTTTTGAACGCCTCTACAAGGATATTAAGGAGAAAGGCAGTGTTAATCCACTGTTCCGGCTTGCTAAGGTGCGCGAGAGGAAGGCCCGAGATCTAGACCACGTGAGATGCGTGAAGGACAGCAATGGTAGAGTGTTAGTTGAGACTGCCAAGGTGGCTAAGCGCTGGGGGGAGTACTTTAGTGAACTCTTAAATGCGGGAGGAGACCAGATGCTAGTTCTTGATGAGTTGGGACATCCTGGGGCATCTCGTGTGTATTGCCGGCGCATTTGCTTGGAAGAGGTGGTTCGGGCTCTCCGCGTGATGTGTAATGGGAGAGCTGTGGGACCAGATAAGATTCCAGTGGAGTTTTGAAAGCATGCGGGTCGTGATGCGTGGGTTTGGTTAACCAAACTCTTCAATGTTATCCTCCGGACAGCATGGATGCCTGATGAGTGGAGGGAGAGTCTCTTGGTCCCTCTGTTTAAAGGCAAAGGTGACATTCAGAGCTGCGAGAATTACAGATGCATCAAACTGCTTAGCCACACCATGAAGGTTTGGGAGCGAGTTATTGAGTATAGGGTGCGGAAAGAGGTTTGCATCTCGGAGAACCAGTTTGGTTTCATGCCTGACAGATCGACTACAGAGGCCATTCATCTCGTGAGGAGGTTAATGGAAGAGTATAGGGCTAGGAAGAAGGACCTTCATATGGTGTTTATTGACCTTGAGAAGGCGTATGATAGGGTGCCAAGGGAGGTCTTATGGAGGTGCCTTGAGGCGAGAGGAGTTCCCATCGTGTACACTCGCGCGATCAAGGATATGTACGATGGGGCTATGACCAAGGTAAGGACTTCCGGGGGCGTCTCAGATTCCTTCTCGGTAGGGATGGGGTTACACCAAGGGTCTGCTCTTAGCCCTTTTTTGTTCGCCTTGGTGATGGACGTCCTAACTCAAGGTGTTCAAGACGGGGTCCCATGGTGCATGCTTTTCGCGGATGATATTGTGCTTATC